GCAGAAAAGGTCCGGATCAACGCTGGAAACGAACTCTGGTTCGTTTAAAACGGGGCAAATTATCAGGTCTGAATACGACCTGAAAGAGATGTTTAAAGGGCACCTACCAAAACTCACTTTTTTCATGTGTTTAAACTTACTTTTCGGTCTCTACTGCTTAGAGAAGCTGTCCAAACACCAGAAAATGCACCCAGCAGTTTTTAGCTGTAATAACATGTATTTTTAGGTATCTGGAAACATGTCCTGATGCATCTCAGTAATCCAGGTAAAAAATCAAAAGGAAAAAAAATTGTATAGGTCCTCTGGACGGGTTCTTCTTTAATGAAATGTTTCATTTTGCCTGAAACTCTCAGACTGAAGAAGTCTCTTGGAAGAGAGACAAAACGTTTCATTAAAGAAGAACCCGTCCAGAGGACCTATACAATTTTTTTTCCTTTTGATTTTTTACCTGGATTACTGAGATGCATCAGGACATTACTTCATTTTATTAACTTTTCTTTACTTTTAATTCCAAAATCACCAAAATGTTTTTTCACACCCATACTTATTTTTTAACCAAACTTTAATTATAACATTAAACTTTCCCAAATGAGGTTTGCAAATTTTCATTTATCTTTGGCAGCAGTTTCATACAAATGAGCTGTGACCATGTCCTAATATAACCTCTTCGTTTCTGCACTGCTTGTTAGTTTTTGTAAAGTTAGTTTCCTCCACAGAGAATAGCAATGATTTATCAAATTTTGGATTTTTTTGTCCACTTCATTTCTCATTCTTCTTTTGCATTAATATGCACAAATATGAATATATTAGATAAATGCATGTTGAGCACCAGGAGCCTTTATTCACCTGATCTAACATGTGACTGCACTTGTTGTTTTGTTTTAAAGATGCAGAAGAAAAACTTGTCACGAACAGCCATCAAACTCTCTCAARCTGAATTATCAAAAGCCTCTGACTCATCAGCACACCAGAGAGTTTTTTTTCACCAGTAATGATCTATTTGTTCAAGGGAACGCAGCCTTCACAACATGTGGAGGAGCACAGCTGAGGTTTGCTTTGAGCAATGATTATGTCTTTTTTTTTTTGTCAAAGTGTATCTATCTAGTAACTTTAAAGCCCTTTTGTGTGTTTTGTCACGCTCCTAACTGTGTGATCCATCATCCACGCTGGATTTTATCGCTGACCTTTTGTGAAGAAGAGGTCCTTTGTTGGGACCGTTGTTTCCAGACACTTGGAAAACAAAACGAAAAAAAAAAGCATTTGTATGGCTTGGTTTTTGTCTACAAAGATTTTTTTTCTCTTTTTCTAATCAGCACAGCAGCATTTTCTGTAAACAAAGTAGAATCTCACTTTTCACTGGGTGAGATGTGTGTTAGTGTGTCAATATTGATTCAGTCAATATCTATGTGCTCCATATCTTATTTTGTGTGCTGCTTCTCCGTGTGTGTGTGTGTGTGTGTGTGTGTGTGTGTGTGTGTGTGTGTNGTGTGTGTGTGTGTGTGTGTGTGTGTGTGTGTGTGTGTGTGTGTGTGTGTGTGTAAGAGACAACTACCTGAATAGTCGCACACTTTTGCCAAATCTGTTTGAGACCATACAAGCCGTCACAATCTGTGAGGGTTTGCATCTGACAGCCTGTGCATGCAAGTCTTAGTGTGTGTGTGTGTCTGTGTGTGAGAAAGTGTGTGTGCATACGAGGAACTGTATTCCCTGGGCTGCTAGTTATAATGTTTCTGGGGGTGATGGGGGGAACTTGAAAGCCCTGTGCTGCCCAAATCAAAACTAACAAGGAAATGATGGGGGCTCCTTTATCTCCTCTCTGGCCTGGGGGGCCGAGGGGAGCAAGAACAGGAGACTGGGCATGGAGTAAAAGAGAAAAGGAAAAAAAACAGAAGAGGAGGGAGGAGAGAGGTAGCGATGGAGAGGAGGGAGGGAGGGAGGGAGGAGAGCAGCCTGGCTTCCTCTTTGATTTGTAAAAAATGCATTACCTCCGAAATCAAACGGAAAATTACTGCGCCGAAGCAAAACACACAGAGTAGGGGAGAAAAGGAGATGGGTGGGGTAGAGAGGTAAGGGGGATAGGTGTGTGTGTGAGAGGAAGGAGGTGGGAAAGAGGAAAGGAGGAGTCACCTGTATGGATAAGCTGCCGGATAGGGAAAAAATGGTGGAGGGGTATGGATTTGAGGTGGTGCGTAGGCGGTTTGAGTGGTAGCTAAAGAGACCCTGAGTGACCGGAGCACGTATGTATCGTCCTCAGAGGAGGCGAGTCTATACAGGCTCTGGACCATGTGAATATGGCAAATGAAAGAGATGATGCAGTATTGATGACCTGTAGCCCACAGGGAAGAGAAAACTTATAGATTACTCCCCCCTTAACAAAGAATCTCTCATATTTTTTAAAGATCAGTCATCGCAACCGCTTCCATTCAAAGTGGAGGACATGTTAAAATAYTAACTGAAGGATTTGGAATAATTTTTAATTATGCAAAAGCTAATGTGGAATTTGGCATTGCATAGTGCTGAGATGCTGAAGGCTTGTGAAGATATAGTTGTTATTTGAACACTTGGGAGCCTGAGTGCAAGAGGTGCGCACATGGAAGAGGAAAAAAAGAATAATAACATGAATGGTAAGATGAAAAACAAACAAAAAAAAAACTAAGCATGAGATAGGTTGGATGCCTGCTCGGTAAATCTGTGGACAAAGAGAGCAGCTTGGAAACAAGGAGGATGAAGAGCAAGGAGGAGAGCACAAGAGGGGCCACAATCCAAGGGCTAGAAACAGGGTGAGAGCGACGCTCAGGGAGTGATCGAAAGAGAGAGGCGGTCGGAGAGTGAGAAGTGCCTGGAGTTAGTAATAATAATTTATACAAACACACCTTAATCATTCACGTTCCATTTCAATGCTGGAGGGAAAATCCAAAATTCACAGAGCATAATTAAGTAGAGGCAAAGAGCAAGGAGAGAGACAGGGAGGCCAGCGTTGAAGTGGAGCAGCGGGTTCATCTCCTCCGTCGGAGCTTTGTACAACAAGTCTGATGAAAGTGCAGCGCTCAAACCAGAACTCAAAACCTCCTCGCCATCGCCTGTCTGCAGATGTCTGTATGCATTTATTTAACAGATCTCATCATTTTAGTTTCTCACTTAATGAATCAGCCCAGCTCTCCTTTAACCCACACATAGTGGTGTAAAGAAAAAAACTCTGAGGGTGATATGAGATGAAATTGAAAGGGTGTGCTTGTTTTTAATGAAAAAAAAAATCTAACAAATGAATGAAACAAAATGACTGAAGACCTTTTACTTTTGCTTATTTTATTTATGTTCATGTTTAAAAACAGTCAAATTCTGAGAATGGTTTTGAGTATTTTTTTGTATAGTTGTCTAAACAGTCTCACCTTTTGCCATCATTTGATGGAAAAAATGTTTTTATTGCACTTAAATGAAAAAAGCTTGAAATGAAAACCAAATATTACCAAAGACGTGTTTCAAAGCAGCGTCATGTGGCTACAAACTAAACTTTTACAGAAGGAGATGCAATTTTTGGCGTAGTTTGCACAAAATATGCACCTAATTTCCCTTTTAGGCACTTCGTTTCACTTTCTGTGTGATTGTTTTTTTAAACTGACCTGAAATGTGTCATTATTTATCATCTCATTGCTTCAGTTTTTGTTTCTCAGGCTTTAGTGTCACATTAATTTTAAATTTTGAATTTCGCTCCAACGTGGTTGTATGGCTGCATTAAAAAAACAGTTTTTATTTTATTTAGATTAAACTTTAAACCTTGACCTTGTATTAACTATGAACTGGAAACTTCATGGACCAACACTTTCAATTCAACCCCACGCCCTAAAAGTCCATTAAACCGAATCTATTTACCTTAACGTGTAAAATATACTTTCAAAAACTCTACAAATAACGCACCAAACCATGATGTATAATTTAAGGGGTTTTCTGAAGTCTGTGTAATTCCTCCTGTTAGAAATGCACTATAGGATGTCCACCATGTTGCATCAGACTCAGCCTCAGGTGGCTACACAAGATCACATCCATCAAACACCTTATCTCCACCAAAGACATATGAAACATAACCTTGCTATATTTCACATTGATTTAAGGTATCATTTTGAACTCGATCCTTACGCAATATCTCAATTTTCGGCAAAGTTCACACTTTTCAACTTTAGGTCACTTAAATAAAACTTCGCTTACTTTTGGTTTGGCCGAACAATATTTTATGAAATGTTCTGTTGTGTTCCTGCAGTTCCRTTTGCTGATGTCTGCGTGTCCCGTTTGTGTTGCTTCAGGTGTTGTGGAGGCATGGACTGCAACTGCGTCAGTGATCTGCTGCTCCCCCCTGTGCCTGCCCTCTGGACACCAGGTCAGTGCTACAGCATCATTGCATGCCTTGAAACAATACTTGATCTTAAATTCACCTGCTCGCCTGAAGGTTTCTTTTAAAAGTTTACAAAAATCTTACATTTCCATTCAAGGAAAAATATCCAAAATTAAAGACACGGCATTCCTCGAAGGTAATGCTTATTGTCGTATATGACAAAGACTGAGACCATTTCGTGATGAGAAATTTAGTTTACTACCATCAGTGCACGAATTTGRGAATGACTGACGTGTAAAGCGCTTTGGAGTCGATATATAAGTTCAGACATATGTCATTTATTCATCCATCCATCCATTTTCTGTAGCACAATCACTAGACATATTTCAAAATTTCATAGTCGGAAGATACATTGCGAGTTACTCTCAGCTACAACTACATCAAATGTTAGCTCAATATTTGAAAAACTGACTCAACTGGTCAGTTGAATCAATTGGTCTATTTTTGTGTTTTCAGTTGGCTATTGCAGATGAGTTTAATTGGTTCTAAATGTTAATCAGTTTACACCCAGTGATTTTTTTAAAGTCAATACAGTGGTTCAAGATTTGATGATGGTCCAGTGATTTTCAGCGAGTTTCATTAGAATTCATCCTGTGATTCATGAGATATTTTGGAAAAAGACACACGCAGACAATGTAAAAAGATTACCATTCACCTTTCAGTGACAGGTGATAAAGTTTTAGTTTGATTACATCATCATCTAAATAATGTAAGTTTATTTTAAATATTTCATTTCTTCTTAATTATCCATTTACCAGGGGTGCAACAATACATGTACCCGTATTGAACCGTACAATACAGTGCTTTAGGTTCAATACGCACTTGTATCAAACAATACAGATTTTTTAAAATATATTTTATCAGCTTGTCTTCTGAAGATGCTCTGTGTTGAAAGATCAGTTTATCTGTGTTCTACTACTCCACCTAGGCTGCAAATTCGAGCGCAGATCCACTGAGAAACTTGCTGTTTCAGCAACATTTAATTTAAAAACTGTACTTTTGAGGTTAAACAAATGTTCATAATTAATTTAAATAAATTACAAGTTAAAAAGGGCATGGAAATTTCTCTTTTTTGTATTGAAAAAATATTGAACCGTGAGACTATATGGGATGAGATAACTGTCAGAATTATTGTGTGTGTAAGAGTCTAAATTTGTACATGTAAGTCTATAAATGTACATAAATTTGTTACAACTTTGCCAAATTACAAGTACGAATCAAATTTACATGTACAATTCTTATGTGAGAATACAAGTTTTTAAGTTACAAATACAAGTTAAAAAGTTACAACTTTGCCAACATTACAAGTACGAATCAAATTTACAAGTATGAATCAAATTTACAAGTACAATTCTTTTACCTGTCAAAATAACAGACATTATGCATGGAACACTGAAAAGATCGATTGCAAACAATAACTAACAAGTTTGTACATGTGGCAAAGTTGTAACAAATTTATGTACGTTTATAGACTTACATGTACAAATTTAGACTCTTACACATACAATAATTCTGACAGTTATCTTATCCCATAAGACTAAAGTGTTGAACTGAACTGAATCGTGAATTTTCTGTWTCGTTGCACCACTACTATTTAGGCACAAGCTTCTTCTGGTAATCTGTTATAAATCTTGTGTTTTAACAAGGCTGATTGTGAGCTGATGCATACACAGTTGGCTTTTTAAAATTCAGACCCAAGCAGCTTCAACCATCTCTCTCCCAGTGAGCTGTCATCATCCCCCTGACCAATCTGTTGAGGCTAGAGGGCATTAGCACAGACTAACATTGCTCAAGGCACGTGCTGTGATATTAAACACATCATCCGTCACGTCTATCACTCATCACTCACCCAGACAGCAATCCCCCCGTAGCGAACAGCAGGACAAACGACAGGCCTTAACCTCACCACGCTCCCTTTCTCCCTCTTCACCAGGGTTCGCCTTCCCGGACTGGGCCTACAAGCCCGAGTCGAGCCCGGGCTCCCGGCAGATTCAGCTGTGGCATTTCATCCTGGAGCTGCTGCAGAAGGAGGAGTATCAGGGCGTGATCGCCTGGCAGGGAGACTACGGGGAGTTTGTCATCAAGGACCCAGATGAGGTGGCCCGACTGTGGGGGATCAGGAAGTGCAAACCTCACATGAACTACGACAAGCTGAGCAGGGCTCTGAGGTACGTTCGGATCAGATAAGTCGCGGCGGTTATCGCGTTTGCATTTTTTGTTTGCCCGGGCTGCGGCTTAATCCTCGCGTAACATCTCTGTTTTTYATGTTGGTGAAAATGGAAAGATGAAGGTGAGTCTTTTTCCAGGGGAAYGTCAATACCCTCAATTTCTGCTTATCTGTTGACATCCTAATGGAAAGTTCACAATTGAGCTGCCAAATAAAAAATTCAATAGGGATTTGAAAATTAAGCCTCGGTGTAAAAATGCTTCTCCAGAGTAGAGAGTGCTCAGTAGCAAACTTTCCAAAAATGAATCAAACACAACACACTCTATATATTCAGCAGTTTACACCCCCGAATCACCCTCACAATTTTATTATGCAAATACCCACCACCCCAACGTGTCYCCCCTCCCTCTGCTTTCCTTTGGCCTCTTGTTAATGGGGGCTGTCGTCAGAGTCTAATTGTTATGAATTGGCTGGGGCCACAATTAGCCTTCTTAATTAGCCTCACTTAATTGCTCAATTAGGGGCCAAGGCACAATTGCCATGCAAAGCAAAACATGTCCACATGAGTGCGCCGGGCTCAGCCACTGTGAACACATGCTGGTATGAACATTCTGCTGTGTTTGTTAATATAGTGCATAATGAGGAACTGCTTGTTTAATGCTGAGGTCGTGGAACGCTTTCTCTCTCTGCGGAACAAAAGAAAAGCACGGAGGATTTTTCGTTTGCTTCTCACCGTGTGACACATTTGTGGGGTTTTTGACCCCCCCCCTCCACGCTGCTCCCCGCCTGAGCTCTCAGCTCCTTCACCTGAACCAGATGGTACTGTGTTGTTTTTTTTTTTTTCCCACTCCCTGCCACCGATCCACCCGGCATCCTGGCACACCACACTCTGTGACACCTCCGTGGGTGGCAAAGGAAACTGGCATGACGGCGGCTTGACATGCCCAGCGGGAGAGACCGAAGGTCGTCACCATGGAGACCACTGTTGTTGTGTCACCTCCCTGTAAATGTGTCGCGCGGCTGGGAATGGCAACAGCTGTTTCAGTGCCATTTGAGAGTTTCGGAGTGCAAAGTGCTGATGATTGTTCAAACTAAGCTGTCAAATAAAATCAGTTTTTTTTACTTCAATCAGTTAAGTTTGAATAAATGTACTTGATAAAAAAGACATTTTAACACTGCAAAACCTGCCCAACTTACCAAGTTTTAAAATCTTATATCCAGCCAAAAAGACTTTTTGATCTTGTTTTGAGACTGATTTTCTAAACAAGAACTGATTATGTCAGAATAATAATCTTATTTTCAGAATATGTAAGATTATTTGTCTTGTTAGCCTAAAAATTGACTCAAATTAAGTCAAAAATTTCTGCCATTGGAGTAAAATTTTTTTAACTTAGTAAGATTCTTGAAATAAGAAAAATTTTGAGTCAATTCAAGTATTTCAAGAATCTTGCCAAGTTAACTTTACTTATTCCATTGGCAGAATTTTTTTGATTTAATTTGAGTCAAATTTTTAGACTAACATGACAAATAATCTTACATATTCTGAAAACAAGATTATTATTCTTACACAGTCAGTYCTTGTTTAGTAAATCAGTCTCAAAACAAGATCAAGAAGACTTTTTGGCTGGATATAAGATTTTAAAACTTGGTCAGGTGGACATTTTTTGCAGTGATTAAGTTAGTACAAATCACTTGTTTTGTCATTTTGGAAATATTATTTGAATAAACATCTTTTTCCAAAACTCATATCATATTAATCATTATGCCCACATTATTTACAAAGAAACTGTCTGAAGCTCAATGAGAGAAAATTGTTATTTTATATATTAGGAGATCAAAATAGATTTAACTTTTGACTTTATTTTCACCCCTGTTAATGACTGAGTCAGATTTTCCTTTAAAAAAAAACTCACAATGTATTGAATAAAAGCAGTAAGACGTGAATTGATTTGAGAAGAGAGGAGGTGAATAAAAACAGTGGGAAATCAGCATAGCTCTTTGCCTCACAGYGCTGAAGCTGTTTTCTTCTCTTACAGCGAGGAAACAAAACCTTGATGCGAGCATTAAATTAATCCTTCCCTGCCCTTTCCCTTTTTTCCTTTATCCTTTACCACCTCTCTCCATCCCTCCATCAATACCCTCTCCTCCTTCCCCTTCATGCAGGTATTACTACAACAAGCGGATTTTGCACAAAACAAAAGGGAAGCGTTTCACCTACAAGTTTAACTTCAGCAAGGTGGTGCTGGTGAACTATCCCATCCTGGACATGGCCAACTCTCCCTTCTTTCTGGCCCAGAACCACTTCAACGGGGGCTCCGCCACGCCGGACTGCAGCCCAGAGGTCCGAACAGTAGGATGGAGGTTTGGGAAAGGGGGTTTGTGTTTGTTGGAGTTTTTCAGATGCTGAAATCTAAACTAAAATTAGCATAAAAAAGTATGGAACTTTGTGTTTGGTAGATTATTTCTTTGTTGTAACACTTTTTCATGGCAATATAATAGATAGACTGCACCCGGGGTTACCAGAAGTTCAAAACAAGTAATAATAATAATAATAATACATTTTACGTGTAATGCACTTTACATTAACAGAAAATCTCTGTGCTACAGTGGAATCTAAAGCAATTAATAAAATAAATGCAAGAACATTAAAATACAAATAAGATACACAAGAAAAGTGAGTTAATTAATTACAAACTAATGGATGAAAATATGACTGAAGACAAGACAAAGCATTTAAAGGAAAATCAATGAAAGCGTTTTGCAAAAAGAAAGATTTTCAGGCCTGTTTTACAGCATGTCATGGTCCGAGCCCTCACAGCAGTGTTGTATAAAGTACCACAAAGTGATACTTGAGTAAAAGTACGAGTATCTTACCAAAAAATGACTTTGGTAAAAGTTAAAGTC